TTCAACAGGAAGTACCTAGCCCATAAAATTCTTGTATTTGGATAGTCAAAGTGACAATTGCTAGTGACCACAACCATGAGCCTTGGACATTAATGTTCATGATTGCATATGGGTCATCCATTTGAAAAAGATCTAACTCTCAGACCCTTTAACAATCTTGCAGGGGTGCTGATCCCTAGGCCTCCTTTTTTTTTTTTTTTTTTTCCTAGGCCTCCTTTTGTGGTCTATTACAGGAATCATTCCCTGTTCTCTCTCCAGACACTTTCTCTTCCTTCCACCCCTGTCTTCTTGTCCTTTCTAGCGGGAAGTAACCACTCCCTAAGATCCCTACATTTGGACAGTCAAGATGACAATTATAAGGTGACCACAACCATGTATCTTGGAAGTTCACATGCATAATTGCACATGGATTATCCATTTGAATAATATTCAACTCTCAGACTCTTTTTGCAGTATAGCAGGATGCTGATCCCTATTTTCTTGGCTTGTTTTTTGTGTGATTGTATTTGTCCAGGAATCCTCCTCTTTCCCCTCCCCTGACACTTCCCTTTTCCCTTCCACCTCTACTTTCCTATCCTTCCCAGTAGAAAGTACCCACTTAATAAAACCCTTGTATTATGGACAAAGTGCACAATTATAAGTGATCACAAACATGTGCCTTGGACATTAATGTGAATAAATATATACAGGACAGCCCATTTGATTAAGAGCCTACTCTCAGATCCCTTTCATGGTATAGCTTGGGCACGGATCCTTAAGCCCTGCTTTCTTGTCCATGTTTCTGGCACTCGATAAGAGTCTCCCTCAATTCCCTCTGCTGTTCAGCAGAGTCCCGACTATATTAAGATACTTGTAGTGTTCAAAGTGTGTACTTTTAATTTATCTAACAATGTCCCTTGAATATTAATGTACATGATTGTGACATGGTTCATTCTATGTAACCAAAGTCTTACCATCTCACACTCCATTGCAGTATACAGGGTTGCTGCCTCCTAAGTTTCCTTTTCTTGGCCTGTTAATGTGCATAATACATGTGTCTGGGTTACAGTGCACTAGACAAGAACCACACCCCTTAACTCCTTATACCTTTCAATAGGTGGGGCCCACTGCTGAATACCCTTTTCAATTTGATAGTTAATGTATATAATTGCTGTTGTCTGCAGCCCTGTCACTTAACAGAACCATTGTACCTCCTTTGCATTATTGCAGGGGTTGCTGTTTTCACCCAAAGTCCCTTCTAGTGGACCATATGAAATTTTATTTTTTCTTGGTCAGTAAACTAAGGACATATTCTCATTTTTCCTTTGCAGTACAGTAAGGTGTACTGATAACCCAAACCCTCTTCTTTTGGATTGTTAATATATGTTAATGGATTTGCTCTTGGTTAGCATAGTGCATAACAATCCCACCTACTTCCTTGCTCACTATTGAAGACTCAGTTGAAAAGTTCATGTGCACAAACAATTTTCTAAGCATGTCTCATACCCAGAGCCTTTGCTTTAGAGCAGGGGCATGCTATTCAGCCAGTGCCTCTTATTTCAGACTTTAATGTGAATTAATGCAATTTTTAATCTCTTCCTTGGACTAGGTTTTCATCTCATACCCCCTTTAGATCAGGGGCATTTAACTGTGAACAAACTCTTTTTCTAAAGAGTGCATGATTGTTTTGGTTGTAGACCTGTATATTAGAAAATGACTCTGCTCATACCACTACCTTTTGATTGATGCTGAGAACTGCTAACTATTCATAACCTCAGGTCTTGCACCAGTTAATTTGCAGCAATAACAATAATTGAAAATACTGATCATCCCTATTCCCTTTGCATACATCAGGGGTACTGGTTCCTTGAATTGTTAATGAAAATATGTGCAATTATACATGCACATTTCTGTGAGGCCAGGATACTATGCCCTCACATTTCCTTTGCATTATTGCAGGGGCTGCTGACCACCCAAAAATTCTCTTGGGATTTTTAATGGGCACAATGACAATTACCGAATATTTTTCTCTCCCTGGCCTTGTTATGTAAGCAGCTTACCTCAGTTGCCTATGGTATAATAAAGCATAATATTGCAGTGTACCCTGCATTTGTCCATTGAACAACAACCCATTGCATTGGTTACGTTGCTCCAGGATATAAAATCCCAAGTAGCCAGTTTTATCCTTTATACAAGGTCTCCCTTTCCCAATCCCTTATCTGCCATTGGTCCTTTAATTTGGACTGTTAATGCTCAGGTGTCCATGCATCTAGCCAGATTGTACTCCCTGTCACTCCCCTTCTCCATGCCCTGCCTCTTTTTCCTCTTTGCTGGGAATTGTTGACTGGGCAAGGTAATTTCTCTTGGACCTAAAAAAATTAGCAATCCCTTATGTGATTGGTTTACCACTTTGTATTGCTGTAATGTCTTAATTACACTTTCCTTGGTACTGCCCATGAGACATGGAGGGATGCCCTCTCCCCTTCTTTTGCATTGCTTCGAGTAGTGTTGACTACCCAAAGTCTCTTCTGTGTTATTAATGAACACAGTACTGATTGTCCCATTTGTCAGCCCATCAGTCCAAGATCTCTCTCCCACTTCGGTGCGTTTGTGCAGTATTGACTGTCAAAAGCAGGCCTGAACTAGGTAATGAGCCTTCACTCTTTTTTCCTGCATCTGTTAATAATCCTAGTTCCAATTATTGTCAGATTCTGGGGATGAGAACCATTCTTGTCCACGTCTGTTAATACTTTACTGTGTGAAGTACTCAAGGCAAGTCAGGACCAGGAGTTGTATCACCACCCTTTATTTAGGGTTTTTGATATACAGTATACAGTATCCATTGAAAATTGTCTCCCTAGGAAGGAAGATTAATACATTCTCTGCATTTTTCCTTATAAAGCAGATCACTTGGTTAAAAATCTCTCCTCTTCTCTTTTGTATATTGTTATTATACAATGCTGGTTACCAGGGTATAACCAGAAATGTTGCTATTGATCTTTTTATTTTTTTAAGGAAGACATCTGGATTGTGAGGTGGAATTGAAAACCTGGTCATTATTTTTTTTATTTTTCGAGGTCCAGAAATCCATTTATGCTATGTACTTGACAACCAGTGTCTCTCATTTTACTGAGGGTGGTAGGTCTGTGGATAGGCTGGGGGGGTACTCTTGCTATTTTAGTGGTATCAAAAGAGTTCTAGAGTGGAATTCTTAAGTCCAGTATCTTTGTTTGGGTTGTACCATCATTCATTTTTAGAAAAACTGCCTAAACTTTCTAATTCTTAAATTTCTCCATATAGAGCACCAGCCCATAGTTATTTCAAGAAGATTGCTATAAAGAGGAACAGATGAGAGAATTTATGCTGAAGCTCTTTTGAAAATGTAATTAGGGTTGCTATGAGAAGTATTTGTAATACTAAAAGCTTTGTAATTAGTTTATCATATAGAATTCACTTTAATTCTGCTAATAATGTGAAATAGCTTAAAGCACCACTCTAGAGTGACTTATCTTAGAAATGATGGGACCAGTTTCTTCACTTTATATTATAAGAAAAATAAGCCAAGATCTAGTTGTTCTTGTGGACATAAATTTCAACAGTAAGATAGCTGCCTAATAAAAATGAATACTATCCCAGCCTCTAGTATACAGGTTATTTTGTGGCAAAGGAGTATTTAATGTGGAACTGCTGATGCAAATAACTAGACATCACAGCAGCAGTTCTTTTTAATCACTGAAAAAGGATGCACTATTTTTCTGAGAAGGATATCAAAAGTTCCGCCCAGCTCAGAGTGCAGTTTGCACTGCTAGCTCCTTGGACAGCTGTAAGAAGAGTCTCTGGCTCTTTAGAATGCTGTAAGTACTATTTTGTAGCTATTAAATAATATTTTTCCTCTTCTACTTGCTTTCTTTTAGATGACACCCATAAAAAAGTCAGAGGGTCTAGTATATCTCTTCCCTCTTCTCACCCATCTGCAGTTTATATACACATATGAGTTAACCAACAGAATTGTAGAATTAATATTGTGTACCTAGCCCTATGCTAAATTACACTGAAGTGAGGGATAGAAATGAAATAATCCTCTATTATTTCATCCCTGAGACGGTTGTATTGTTAAAGAGTTAATATAAGTACACTTTAGGAAATGACAATCAAAAGTTGTCTTATGTGAATTATAGTAGTAGTGTTTTAAAAAGGGAGCCTGCTAGGGTTTAAAGTTGATAGGATAAACTTGAAGATGGAGGTGGATTTACTTTTTCTCTTTGAGCCAGGATGTAATTAATATTGTAGCCATCTGTATAGTACAGTTAGTTTGTTTTGATGTCATTTGTTTGCTATCTCTTTTGGAGACATGAAAGGAAATTAAGAGAGATGGGACCCAGCCACTATACAGTGGCTTTATTCCCTCCCAGACTGGCAAATTGGTGATTGTTAAATCTCATAAGGTTGAGCTTTTCAAAATTTAGGTGTGGAGGTATAGACCTGATACTTTGGCTCTTTGCACCTTTTAATTGTATTTCTGCCGAAGAACAGATGACCATGAATAATCCAGATCAGAGATTTTTTTTTTTTAAGTTTGGAATCTTTTTTGCCAGGAATACAGTGGAAACAGTTTAAGTTTTAGTAGAAAACTTTGACCCTTGTTCTTGCCTGTTTTATGTAGTTTATAAGTGCTCATTCCTTTTACCTTTTTAAATGTGTACTTCAGTAAGCTAAAAGCTTAGCCTTTTTTATGTAAAACAAACACAAAAAGTCCAGCTGAAGAAATATTCTTTAACATAAAATTTAAAACTTTTAAAATACATACCCGTGCATCTTATCAGGAGCAACAAGAGCCAGAGCAATGAGCTGGGCTTCTCTTGTTACTCATTTTAATTCATATGCATATTTCTTAATAGCTTGTCTCCTCTCCCTGCCCCAAAGGCCTGAGGTCATTGTCTGGCAGATTGGGGATCATATACATAATGGTCCTGAACCTTGGAAACAAAGTCTGTGCCATTATTTCTCAAACTCAAGTCATGCTATAGGATGAAACACCTTTTTTTTTAAAAAAAAAAAAAAAACAACTTTTAATTGAAACACCTTTTAAAAGAATAAAGTTTTCTGAGCTCCTAAAGAATATGTGTTTTGAGGATCACTGACTTAAAATTGTTTGAAAGGAGAACATGTTTTCCAGTTTCAAGTTATCTTTGTCAAAGACATGTTTTATACAATTCATGTAAAACTTGGGGATCTAAGAGAATATTTCCACAAACCCCCAGGGTTCTTATCACCCCAATTTGAGAAACACTGGTCTATGCTTATGGAATTTTTTAGTGCTATTAATCAAATTATTTAATCAACATGCAATTATAAATGTTACTGGAATTTGTTTTAAAGGGATGAATGTAGAGCTGTTCTGTATCCTGATTCAAGAGGAAGGATGGCTTAATTTGGGGTGAATTGACGCCTGCTAGATAGCAGCCAAAGGTGAATCTTGTTATTGTATTTCAATTCATTGCTTGAAATAATCCCTACCCATAAGGAAAATCTCTAAAAATTGTGAAAAGGAAATGTGCAAATGTGGGCATCTTCAAAATTTAGGTATTCCTTGTGTTAGTTCATAAAATTTTTATTCAGGGACTGGAATAAATAGCAAAACCAAAGATATGCTTTCTGTCAGGGTATATGTTCTTTTATGGAAGATGTAGAAAGGAGCCTATCATAACATTATTGGAAAGAATTTGATGAGTACTGTAAAAATATTAGGAATTTGAGGAGAAGCAAAAGCACAGGCCTTCAGAAAAAGACTCCTCCATTGGAGCTGAGAACTACTGCTTTCAGGGACTAAGACTAATGAAGATTGACTAGTTCTTTCTAGAAAATCTGTTGCTATATAAGAAGAACAATTTTAATTGCTGACATCATTTTAAAAAGAACTTTTAGATATTACAAATAACTTGGTTATAGAGTCCTTGTGTATTTCAACTTTAGAACTGACTACAAATTAAATCCATATTTGCTTTACATGGAACTACAAGCAATGATGGGACCCACTCTAGCAAAATCTGGAACACAGAATTACCAATTGATCTGGTATTCTGCAGAATGCCTTTCTATTGGGATTTGTCTGATGTCTTCTTGATTAAATTGGATTTATGAGTGGGAGGAAAACCATAGAGGTAGAGTGCCAGTCTTATTTATGAAAAACACAACAAACATTACTTTTCACTGTTGAAGCTGCCTTTAATTACCTGAGATACTGTTTCTCCACTGTAAAATTGCCCCTTATTTCTCCCTTTCTGTACTGTGCTCTTTAAGAGAACGTTTCTATGTATAGCTAATACTTAAGGAGTGAGGAGTTACACTCTATCCCCTTGAAGGCAGAATACTTATATAAATAATTTGGAAATCTTCACAGGAGATTAGTCTTTTCTCTCCAGCTTATCTATTTTTTCAATAATTTGTTTATATCAGTATGAACTCATGAATTTATTTATACTCTGAGTTCTAACCACTACTACTTTATTTATTGTTCAAATGGTTCCAACTTTGAACATTAGGAATTCTTACAGTTGGCTTTGACATGGCTCTATCATTATGTTTTTTTTGTTTGTTTTTTTTTTTTTTGAGTACTTTCTTAGTTTCTAGCACTAATATAAGATGCCTCCAGGCTCATGTGTGTATCTCCTGCCCAGTCCTAGAATCAGCCATTTTGTTAAGGAGCCCTAATTTCTTTTACTGGAGAATGACATTAGAAATTGCAGTCTGAGGGACCCGCAGTTAGCGTAAGTCGCTGGACTCCCACGTAGTCCACCGCAGTTCCGTGTCCCGGACCCAGTGGCTTAAAACTCATGTCGGGCGCATATGTGTGCGTGCCCAAGATCCGGAGAGGAGAATGGAGGAGAAAGGATGGTGTTGTGGCCATCCCCCCTGGGGGGTGATTTCTCGCTTTCAGTCTCTCTGTCTCTCTCTGTCTGGTGAGCAAACGCGCCCTATAGCAAAAACCTCTCCAAAACAAACAAACAAAAAAAGAAATTGCAGTCTGGGTGCTAATGTTTGCTTCTGGCTACTGGAATGTCATTCTTTCAAGACCTCGGTTGACAAGAACAAGGAGATGTATGTCCCATCTATTTATATTGAACCCTTCTAGCTATGATCATTTCGTGATTTGTCTAGTGATATAATATTTGAATCAGCTGGCTGGCCATGTCACTTGGGTATACCTACATCTCTAAGTTTAATCATTGTCCCATAGATCAATAGATTCTTCTTGCTTATCTGTTACCTCCTACTTTTAACAGAAGTCAGATGAGGATGGGAGATTTTTCTGTTAATATTAGGGTAGTTGAGTGTTTGACAGTTGCTTCTGTAGTTAAATTTAGGAAGAGTTTAGTTGCAGAGTGATTAAAATTTTCTTAAACTAGAAATGACCCTTTTGACCTAAATGTTTCTGCTAGTTTCAAAATCTGTACTAGGTTGGAGAAACAAACTTTGATCTTAAGAATCTGAGTTTATCTCCAACTCCACATTTTGTTGTTCATTTCTAGATTAAATTACTGTGATATAGCCAGGTAAACTATTCCTTGGGTATGGATGTTTTTCAGTTTTTTTCTTAAGAGCTGAAGGACCCTGCAAACACTGGAGGTGGGAAAGGAAAGGAAAGACATATTCAAATGTGAAATAGGGAAGGTCCATTTCCTGACCTTCTGCTAGTCTTCCAAAGTGCCTATTTAAGACCCAAGGAGTAGATTTTTTTCCTTTGGCAGTTATAACCCAAGTATAATGTTCAACATTTTAATTTTATTCAAGAAATTTGGTTGTGCTAATATAGAGAAGTGTTCTGATTAACAGGATTGCCATATGCATCACATATGGGTTAGTAACAAGATAACATGAAGTTGTGTTGAGCATAATTCTAATATTTTATATTAGATATTATCTGAGACAGTGTTTCTGAAATGTGCGTAATAAGTTTGACAATAGGAGTATAATAAGTTTGACAGTAGGGAGCTCTTCTCAACTTTCTCTTTTTTTCCCAAAATTTTATTATGAACATGTTCAGAAAAATTGAAGGAGTAATTCAGTGTATACCCATATAACCCACCACTTAGGTTCTACAATGAATATTTTGCTATCTTTGATTAAAATTTCCTTTAAAAGAAAAAATTATTATAGATCATTAAGATTTATAGGAGTGTTTTGTTAAAGTATCTGAACAAAATATGAGTAAATCTTTTTGCCTAGATCTATAATACAGCTCAGAAACCCAGCACATATACAAATTAGTGGTAACATATACAAATGTGACTAAAGTACTAGTATTATAGTATTATGACTTTTGAATGTGGCATGGTTGTACTTTCACATTTTCTGTTTTTTTATGTAAGAATGCATCATGACTTTTCCGATGACCTAATAGATACACTGATCCAAGTTGCCGCTTTTGAGCTGCTGTAAAATTTTGTTATTAGTGCACATAGTGAAGCTATTTGGCTTTCATTTGGCATGAAACACATTTATGTATTGTTTGCCTTTATTGTTTTGTATAAGTTCCAGGCAACAAAACTAGACCATTTGGTATTAATCTGGCAGTGAAATTCTCCATTATGAGGTAGTCATCTAGTTGATCCAGACTGTCTTTATAGTGAAATAAAAATATGGCTAAAGTTAGTGCACATAGTGAAGCTATTTGGCTTTCATTTGGCATGAAACACATTTATGTATTGTTTGCCTTTATTGTTTTGTATAAGTTCCAGGCAACAAAACTAGACCATTTGGTATTAATCTGGCAGTGAAATTCTCCATTATGAGGTAGTCATCTAGTTGATCCAGACTGTCTTTATAGTGAAATGAAAATATTGCTAAAGTTTTATGGAAAGTTTTCATACTCTTGAGAGTCCATACATAGACTCCAGAGTTAAAAGAATCCTAAATTGAGAGAAAATATGGGTTTAAGTACCACTTGGACACCTACTAGTTGTGTAACATTGAAAGGAGTGTCATCTTCAGGGCTCCCAGTTTCACTAGAGAATGAAAATATTGGATTATATGATTATTAATATGCTTTCTAGCTGTGATTATTCTGTGACTTGCTTCATGCTGGAGCATTCAAACCAGCCAGCTGGCAATGTTACTTGGTTATGTCCAAAATATCTTGACGTTTTACTGGACTGCAAAATGACAGATCAAGTCTCAGGATTCTTGTCAATGAATATTGAACCCCAGTGAAATATATGATTCTCTACCTAGTTCCAGGATGGAACTACTTTTTTTGGCCTTAGCTTCCCTTTA